TATGACAAATGAAAACAAATTGGTTAATAAAGAATAAACATACTCCAGATATTTCCATAAAAACTGAAATGACGAACGCCATTGCCCCGAAATTCTTGCTGATTTACTTTTAGAATACAGTGGAGTTAATATATTAAATAAAGGGGCAAAATTCATATAGTAGGTAATCCTTAAAATTCCGTTTTAAACTATTAAAATAAATCAAATATACATATTTAAATGGGAATATTATTCCTTCATTAGAAACTCAAATTTGAAATAGTTTTTGATTCAATTATCTGTGTAATTTTATACTTTTGTCCACTTCTAAAGAGATATCTCACACTGTCAACAAGAAGGGCTTGGCTTTGTCGGTATGCGACAAAGACCAGCGGCATTGCCCACACTTTTTAAGTTTTTTTGCCGGTGTGCGGTGTCTTTGAAATAGTGTACCAGGACTAGGCATAAAAATATAAAAATAATTATATATTATCATAAGGGGTATTTTTCTAATTTTGAGTAGTCATCATAGAGATGCGATTTTCAACTGATATTGGTAATACAGACTTTGGTATATAATACTTTACCATCGTCACCAAAAGTATCTGGGACAAAAATAATGCATAATAATCTCCTGGACTAATTCTAACGTCATTCATTTCAATGCATTTAATTCATAGTTTGACAAATATTTGACAATGAAATTCATATAATAGCACAAGAGCTAATAGGATGCTGTCCCAGTTAGTTTTGGTGACGATAGTACATATTTTTGACAAAATAATAGTTATTTATTATACAAGGGAAAAAAGTAGGTACTAGATTTTAGCGCGAGGTGTGGACAACACAGCAAGCGCTAAAATTTTACTTTTTTCCCGTAATACACACTATTTTTTTCTGTGACGGGAAAATCTCACCATTTTCCATCTATACATTTTTTTTTCTGTGACCGTACGTACTTATACTTTTTTCCCTTTGAGAAAAAAATTTGACTGGTGGTACCTGTAACTTTTTTCCCGTGAAAAAAAAATCATTTTTTCTCCAAACGTCAGAAAAACGTCACTTTGTTAACCCCTGTCAAGATGTCAGAAATTTGATTTCTATGTTGCTAGGCAAATCCAGCGGGTTAACACCTGTCGAGGTGGTAGAAATTTAATTTCTATGCTGCTTGGCAACCCCAGCGGCAGCAAAAGTACTTTTAGTGCCGCTCGTACTTTTGCTGCCGCTCAACCATTCACTTGCCCCTGAGCTTACCCCATTCGTTTGGAGAAAAAATAGCGTGTTGCATACGGAATAGAAGCACTTTTTTGTGCTTCAGCAGTATTGCAAGCCTCACTACGTTCGGCTCGCAAACCTACCCCAACTAGCATCAAAGTTATAGAAACCCTCACTGATCGACACTGCTACTATGATTGGGTAAAAAAATAGTAATTGGTACCAAATAACTTACTATGAAGTTTAAACCTTTAGTAAGTTAGAAGAATTAGTGGAACTTCCGTAACACTTACCCAATTTGGTGACTATATGGTGTCATTACATTGTGGTAAGTTTCAGGGTTGCTGGAACCGTGGGGCGTCAAGGTTTAGCTACTTATTCGACACCAAAACTTTAAAGTAACAAATAATTGTCACCGTAACGTGAAAAAATCAACTTTTGAGTAGGCGTGACTACTAAGTGTTTTTGAAGGTAACCACAACCGCAGAGGGACAATAGAAAACACTTTAGAGTTCGCCACTTCCAAGTAACATTGTAAGGTAACGGATTCGTGAACGCCACTTATGTATAGGTAAATTCTACTTTAACGAATCTAGAGGCAACTTCAACGTAGCATTGAATAATTTACGCCATGTTTTATAGAAAATTTAAGACGCCATTTTTTGGAAAAACTTAATTTTGTATAAAAGTAGAAAATTCACGCCTTATATTATCTGTTTACTAATAAAAACCTTGGACTTTTATGATTTCTAATTAAAATGGACCTATTAAAAGTGCTAACTCCTTTGAATAAATAATTTTGTATTTTAGTATATCTTCTATTTTAAATATTTTTATCATCAAAATGTTTTAGTTTGAGGGCGCGTTGTTATTTTCAGATCTAGCATACTTAATTTTCACAGAAAAATTTCACTCGTTTGGGTTTTAGCTGCTTGGGTACGAAAATCAAAGCCTTTCAATATTCATATAGGTACGTAATAATGATCAAGTAAACAAAATAAAGGTGGACATATTGTGAACTTAAAGTACTGGCTGGATGAACGGTAACATAATATACATAATTTTAGTTGAAAGAGATAGAAAGATCAAATAAATATCTTCAAGGTTGAAGGCGCATGGGAAAAAGTCCCATTTTGGTTGATATTACCACACATTTACGGTTTCACAACGTTCCCGAAACGGTCTCGGGACGTAAATTAACAGTTCCGAGGACGATCCAGGCACGTAAACCTTACTGCAAAATCATTCCCCATTTTGGTAACAATGTGGTGAAGAAACGGTGCCTAAACGGTTCCCGATACTAGGAACGCCAACTTTAAAGTTCTCTTTGTAGTCGAGGATACGTAGCGGCGACTAAAATTGCTGGTTGGGACCGCTTCAGCACAAAAAAGTAAAGCTTCTACTCCTAATACACCAATATACTATTTTTCTCGTCACAGAAAAAACGTCTTTATACTACTTTATCTACTATTTTTAAGTAGATTAAAGACTTTACCAGTAGCTATTGAAAAAAAGAATGTTCTGATAAAAAATGTCATTTATGGCGCCAATTTCATTGCGTGTCGCATGGCATCGGCCGCCATTTTGATTGGATTCGATCTTATAGTGCATTAAATTATAATTTTTATTATATCAAAGGAAATATTAGCAAAGAGCAGAAAGAAATGCTGCTGGACTTTTCATCCACAAGAATCAAAATGTTTTCAGTGAAATTCACCCCTACATTTACAAGGGCTCGTTATCACTCGAGTTGTCAATCTTTTTGTATTCTTTGTGGTCGGAATAAAACTCCCACAATTTTCCATCGAAATATTTCAAGAATAGCGTTACTGGTAAAGAGACGGGGTTCCGTGAAGGATACATTACGATTGACCATCTGCAAACTATACGCACGCTAATTCGAGAAGGCAACAGAGTACCTACAATATACCCCTATTTGGTTCTCATCGATTTCCAGAAAGCATTCGACTCTCTTGAAACGTGAGGCAATCTCAAGGTCACTAAACCTTACCAAAATTGACTCTAGATACTCACCACTCATAAAAAACATTACATCATTTACGAAAAACTGATAAAATCCCGCGGGATCAAGGAATTAATATACTTAGATAAAACAATAAGACTGACCCATTTACGATTCGCAGACGACATCATTCTCATCATGAGTACAGATATCTCGTTTGGGTAAAGAAAATCAAACGGCCGAAATCTCTCGAAGGAAGTTGTTGGGCGGCCTTTGGTAAGCTCATAGGTTTACACCCTGCAGGTAACAGAGCATTCAATGCAATGGAAAGGATCATGCTAGGGATAAGTTTGAGAGATCAAGTGCCAAATGAGAAAATAATCTTCAAGAGTGGTGGATGTGATGCGAAGAACAACATAGCTGAAATGGCGATGGACTGGCCATATATCACAATAGGATGGCAGATGGACCATAGCAGATTGATAGTATGGATGGAGCTCAAGAGAAACAAAGAGGGGTGTTCGGCGACCCCAGAAATATGGCGAGACAATATCCAGAAAATCACAGGAAAGAACTGGATACAAAAAACTCAGGACAGGAAACTGTAGGAAGATATAGAGGTCTATATCCTGCAGTGGCCGAATACCGGACTGAAAAAGATGAAGTGGTGCACGGTGCACCCTAGGGTAACCCTTCCTCTTATATTTTCTGTTTTCATCAATGATATAACAAAGAACTTGACCAGCGATTGTCTACTATTCGCTGATTATTTAAAGATCTTTAGGGTCGTTCAAAACCGAAAACCGGGATGACCGCATGCTGCTTCAACAGGATATTGCATATGTGTCCGAGTGGTGGAAATTAGTCAATCTGTTCTAAAAGTTTTAGTTTTAGAATGAGGGTTTTTTTAGTTGAAGTTTTCTGACACTATTTGACTATTATGTAAATCTCTGAGGGAATAAGCGGTAAGTTGATAAATGTTTAATTAACTTCTATAATAAAGAATACCTATATTGAATTGTAAGGGTTAAAAAGAAACTAAACCTTGAAAATATGTATTCATTTATTTCCTTTACTTATCTTGTTTAGCAATACATAAGGGCAGTGGTACCAATTATGGTAATTTTAACTTCATCAGTCATATTTCTTATTAAATATACCCATTTGACTAAATAAGTAAGTACCTAGTTACATTAAGCTATAAAATAACTATATAGGTGGGTACTTACAACAGGTTAGATACCTCTAAAATTTATTGGAAAAAAGGCTAAATGAAACCAGAGACTTGATAATGAGTTTCTATGAGTTCAGTTCTCACAGAAGAAAAAGAGCGCTAGTCACAATAAAAGCAAAATATTGTTATAGAAGGGCAATTAGAAATTTTGCTTTTTGTTAGGGATCTTAACTGACTTTAAAAGTGCTCTTCCTGAAACACAGATTCTCTCTGCGATTTTATTAGTTCTTTCTGGTTCATAGCTGTTTAACTTCAAATTTTATTATTGGAACAAATTCTGTCGTATATACCTACCACCTTTATTTATCACACATATTCTTTATAAAAAAAATTAGACACTTAGCTAAAAGCACACAGAATAATTATTTTAGTGTAGATTAATAATTATATTTAATTGAACCTATTTTGAAAAAGGAATTAACAAACAAAAAAGCAAAAAAATAACAAAACAAACAATAATAATAATTAGATAATGTGAAGTAACAGGAAATTTCAATATCTTTAATAATAAAAAACAGTAAAAACACGCGATCACTAATATAAGCGTATAGATACCTTGGTAACTTTATTTTCCTAGCTAATTTTCTAAAAAAAAAAAAATTAATATAACTAATGGCAATAATTACACTTTGGATGGCACTTGACTCCATTTAGTCCGCACTTGCATCCACCTGAAGTATCTCCTTTACCACCGGGGCCCCATCTGGGACCCCTCGTTACCCAGCATATCTCTGTCTTGCACATTGAACATCTTAACCAGTCACAGCCCCATTTTTTCATTAGTATCACCTGGAAAATATACATATCATAAATAAATACAGAGACAAATCTATTTGATTTTGAAAATCTAGAGCAACGATTTGTTGCTTTATTTTGACCTTAGGCACTGACACATTTTAGTGTCTATATGCCCACTCATAACTTTAATTTTGTTGTCCAATAGGTATACATTTCACAAGATATTCTTTAAAAAAACACAAGTTCTTGGGAGAATACTTTTTGCAATAATAAGTTACATACTTGCACAAAGTTGCCACAGTCCTGCGAACACGTTTCAATTCAACATATTTTTTTTTTTTCAAAAAAATTACCTTGCAAGTTGGACAGGCAATAGCTTCCCCTTTCTCGACCATTTCTTCTAAGAAATCTTTGGTTCGTCTAGCATCTTCGTTCATATTTGATTCGTCTTTCATTCTTTCCTGGTATTGTTTGCAGTTGGCTCCCATGTGAATTGCCTATAAATAGGAAGAATGAAGATTTAATATTGATTTATATTAGGCGGAAATATATCACTAGGCATCCAAACTTTTCTAAATAAACTTAAGTAGGTATTTCGTTGTGTTGCTGTTAAAAATATTCCAAACAGCCAGTTCCTTCAGATATTGGTCCTATAAAAAGACTGAACCAAATTAACAACGCCACGGGTCGGTTAATGAGCGGTTTACAAACATATACCAGTGACATTTTCCGAATCCTCAAAAGAATAACTGATTTTCTGTTCGTGGTATAGTATTTGGAAATAGACCCGCAGTCAGTGAGTTATTTAATTACTTTCTTAAGTAATAGCAAATCAAAGTTCATCAATCTCAGTTTTGACAATACAATAGAAAGCTTTTCTGGCTTTTATAGTGAAATATCCCATCAGACCTTATTTATATCCTTCTACCAATTTGAAATTTGTCGTTAAATCAAGATATTTTGAAATAAATAGAAACTCATTCATGGGAAGTTCACGTTAGACTGATTATATAGGTTAGTAGTTAAGTATAGAAAAGCTTTAAAAAAAAACCTACCTGACAAGTCAAACAATTCGTCTTCCTACAAACAGGACATCGAAATTCGTTGACGTTATCCTCAAATATACACCATCCTTTACAATCTGGAGTTTTACAATGAAAAGTCTTCTCCATACGATTCTCAGCCTGCGCCATCGATTTAGCCAAATGTTGCTCGTACATATCGGGAGAAACTAATGCCTTTATTTCACGGTCTTGCATTGCTATATTACACGAGTATTCTTCGTCCCTGAAGGGACATTTAATTTCCGCGTCATCGGAAAACTCCACAGTCCTCGCCAAACAGTCTTTACAAAACTGGTGCAAGCACTCCCTCAAAGTTACACCATCTCCTTTTGCAACCTCCAAGAAACATACCAAGCACTCAAAAACATCGGCGTTAGCTACCAAATCAGCACTATCTAAATTCACTAATTGAAGATACGTTTGATCTTTTTGTGGTTGTGGGGCGGGTTTCTTTTTGTTCCATCTCCTCAAAGAGGTTTTCTTTATACGAACTGTAGCACAAACTGCGCAAATGTTGCTGGAATCGGGATTGAGAAGGGTGCATAAGTGGCATTCCCATTCTTTTGGTGGTCTAAGTGTGTTTGTATCATATTCCTCTATGGAAGCATTGGGAGCTATTTGAGATAAAGTTGCGGTGGTAGATAAATTGGATAGGTTTGGATATATTCTGGTTGAGCTTTTATCACTGCTTGCACTAGTCGAAGAAATGTTTGCTTCTTTAACTTCCGTTTTTACAGTTTCGGATTTTGAAGATTCGTGAGAGGAAGTTTGTTGAACAGAAGCTCTTCTAGGTGTTTTTTGAGTAGAATTAATATTTGCCGTCAATAATGGAGGAGCTTGGAAAACTTCAATTTTTGTCGCTGTTGCTCGAACTAATCCAGTTTTTTCTTCTTTTATATCATCCTTTTCGTATCTCGAAGAATATGGTTTAATATCTACTTTAATTTCAGTTACTGTTGAGGGAGGTTTAATACCAGATTCTGGTTTTCCATTTGTTATTCCTTTTTGAATAGGTACAATACGAATTACTTCAGCTTTGGCAACGTCTGACGACTTTGGTATCACATTTACAATTTTGGGTGCTTCGATTTTGTTCTTTTTTGGTTCTGGAATATCATTTTTTTTTGTAGTTGCATTTACGTTTTTGGTTTGCCTCAGATTAATCGATATTGAATTTATTGTAGAAGAATCATTGCTTGAAGTTGATGTCGATGGTTGAGCTATGGCAGAGGACTTTTTCGTTTGAAATTCTCTGGGCTTTTTCTCTGAAAAATTAAAATTACCTTTAAGACCTTGAAAATGTGTAATGACAGTGAATATGGTTGCCAAGAATAAATAAATTACAATTCGATGTCTAGTATATTTTCTTTTCACTAATAACCTAACAGAGTATCGTTAACCTTGGTCTCCATATATTTTTAGAAATTAAAACAAATCTATGGCGGTAATTATGCTTTCTAACAATTTGTAGTTTTCACTTTTCACTCTTTTATCAAGAGGAGAGATTTATTTTTAAATTTTGAAAGAAAATTTATTTTTAGTTATAGTTGTCAACCGGTTTCCTGTAAACTGACGATTTTATTAAGTAGAAAATCCATAAATGTCACCTGCATGAAATCAGAAAGTTTTAGTTTGAGATCTAAATTTAACTGTTTGGTCTTCGAAAAAAAAAAAAACACTAGACTTCATTGAAAATGTAGGTATACTATTTAACAAATCTTTTGATCCTTACCTGGAGCAACTAAATAAAGAAAAACTGGACATCCCTCGGTAATATTATGGTGCTTAAGACTGGAATTATCATCAACCACCAACTCTTTCCCCAATATCCATCTTTGCACTTCTACGGGAATTTCAAATTCTGCAGCTATTTGCTGTTTCAATTCTGCTACAGTTTGAGATTCTGTGACGTCTATGGGGAATGGACCTCGGTGCGAAACTTTGTCTTCTACGTACATTTCTATCCTGAAAATTCGACAATAATTATTAATTACATTATATAATATTGGATTCTTGTTTTATGGAACATTTTGCTTGGTACCATAGGAAATTTCATTTGCCATTTTATGCATCAACCAAATTTGACTAAACCAATACCTGCATAATAAATTATTAAAAAACAGTCGAAAGCCTTAGAAAAAAAACCTAAAAACCTTATAGGAATCGCGAAGTACATATTCGTAGATTAGGTTATCACTTTTTAAACTCTATAAAACCGTGAATAATATAAATACAGCAATTTTCTATATCTATTGTTCTGAGTAAATATGAAATCAAGACCGCGCTTTTCGTAACTCCAAAACAAAAAGTAGTTTCTGCGCTGCATTTGTTGATTTGGATAATTCGCAGATTCACAGATCATAATGTTTGTTCGATATTGTCAAGGTTTTAGGAAAGTTTATTTTGTAAGCTGATATCATGGAACAAATTAGCAGGAATTTGGATGATCAATGATGAAATGGAAGAGATCTACTATAAATTTCAATTCTACCACGCAAAATGGCTTTATGGTACTCGATGAACATGTAAAGACTCTATGATTTGAACTGGTAAATAAAAACCCGGAAAAGATAAAATACAAGATTAAGCACCTAATTAAATTGGACCCAAAATGACAAAAATTTCGAACAGATTGTATCATCATCTAAAAGATGAAATTAACTTTTGGAATAATATCTAGGTCGACCAATAGAACTGAGTTACAGATGGTTAAACGACCGCCCATTGTCGATTTTGGTGGGTAATTAACAATATTTTGGGGGGAATCGAAAAATATAAATACAGCGGATTTAGAAGTTTAAGTGCAGTTCTAACATCAGTCCAGTTGAGTTTAAAGTACTTAATGAGTCAGTCCGGATAAAATTCGCGAAGAGTTTATTTTATTTTGTTGCATCGGGAAAACGCGTTTATTTGAACTTTGAAAAAGTAACGGTAAATTGTAAAGACCATTTAAATTCGTTCAACGTTATGTGCGAGCTCTAAGTAATCAGAAGAATTAAATTAGATTAGTTTAGTGATTTAAAGCCGAAATGTAAGTACTCTAGTGACAAGTTTTATTTTGACTATAAATGATGAATGGCTATGAAGTATGAAGTGAATTACCTTTGGAACTTTATTGCATAAATATTAATAATTCGAGTTTTTTGACTATGGAACATTATTGCATAACTTCAATTGCCTTCGAGTAAAATGACATTTTAATTAATTTTGCAAAGAATTTAGAGGGGAAAATTATAATGCTCTTAACAATTATCGATTTAAGTATGAATTATTAAAGATTTTTGAATTGGATTGTCCAATTGAAGTTTAAGGGCTATAATAAGAATTTAAATAATTGTGTATGTTGATTAGGAATTCTTAAATAGTATTGTTCTGTTTAAAATGATCCTTAGTGAAGGATAGAACCACTAAATGTATTGGAAAGTTTTGTTTAAAAATTGTTGTTAATAAAGTAACATTGTTGACCTTAAGTTCTAAATTTTGATTTAGGGTTTTAACCATTTAGAAATTATTGTTAAGTTTTTATAAAAATATAGTTGGTGATACATATACACTTGATCCAGTGAGTAGGATTATGATTGTTCTGCGTAAGCTGTCAGTTAATGACTTAGGAATTTCAAGAATTTATAGCTATAGGTAATGGTAGTTTCATTAGGAATATGAATCGGAAGTGTTGTTTGAAAGAGTAAATGTATAAACTTATAAGTTATAAAGAATAGAAGAAGTAGGGCGTTTTTAGTATGGATAATTCCTGGTCCGAAGTAATACAGTTTGAAAGGATGTAAAATAAATTGGTTTGGGAAAATTTATAGGCGGCTGACAGACATAGAAAGATATTTGCTTTATTTTAATATTTGTTTTAAGTATAATAAAATATAATTTTGTAAACCTCAATAGTTTGTTTCTCTCTTTTGCGAATAGACCCCCTCCACAATTTTATAGGTAGCCGCTCAAGGAAATAAACACCATCAATATATCGTTCGCCATTTACCATCTAACTAATTAAAAAGAGTACTTGGGCGCGTTTTGCTACAAACAATCGGTGAAAGATGCGGATTCGTACATTATCAACGTTAGGTTACTTACCAAAATCAGAATACTCTGTCAATGAAAATATTACGAAATAAGCTCAGTTATTAAAACGAGTCACGAATACTTTCCAGCATCAATAATTATTCATAAATATTGATTCTAACCAAATGTAATAACGGAGAAAATCAAAAATGCATTTCTATTGAAAATCAAAATTTCCACTGTTAACTCTAATAAAAAAATGCTTGAGCTTTGATGTTTCAAATGACGTAATAGAGCAAGTGTTTTTAAGACCAGTTATCCACGAATACTTTACACTATTTTTTTTTATTGCTATACGTTCAAATCAAATATTTCTAATAATTGTAGAATGCTAAATTCGTTGACACTTGTTATATTTTATTTGACGTTATCTACAAGTACTTACTCCTGACAAATCAATCAAAAAGTTGACATTTAGACTTTACCTACCTTTCTTGGGTTGTTGATGTTGTCATGATAACTTTAAAACACGCGCGTTTTTGAATGTTGGATTTAAACACGCTGAGGAGTACTTTAAATAAGTAAAATAGGTAATCAATAAAAAAAAATGGTATTTTGTCGAGAAAACATAAGAACATAGATATTTTTTATCTTTAACTTTTTTTTTATAAAGCTACGAATAATTTTTGAGATATCAACCAAAATGTTTCTATTCTAGCAGTTTTCACTTTTTTCCCAATGCATCTTGCAAACCATGTGGCAACACTTGACATATTTTTTAAAGTTTGTTTTTATAGATTTCGTACTGTGAGCTTAAAATACGTGGAATAAAATAAAATTAATTGCATTTATTCTATGGCAAATAGTAAACTATCATTTAATCGACTCAAAACTCGTTGTTAAAGTAACACTTTATTTCATGTAGTGGAATCGAACAATTTTTACCCACTCATTTGTCAATTTTACCCACACATACGTCAATTTTACCCACTCATACGTCAATTTTACCCACTTGTTCAAATCTTTTATAATAATTATAGTGTTTTTGACAGAAATCTGATATGTTGCATGATTGACAACACCAGAAATGTGTCAGTTTGTTAGGTCCTTTGTCAGCTCTGCTTTGTCAGTTTGTCATAATCCATGTGAAATTTTAGCACATTTTGATTTATGATTATAGTGATTGTGATGAATAAAAAGTAGCTCAAGAATAAAATAGAATATTACCCACGACGGTAAAAAAGCTTTACCTGTTCGTGGAATTAATCAACATTTTCCACTCACAGGTAAAGCTTCTTTTTACCGTCTTGTATAATAAATAACTATTTCTTTTGATTTTTCTCGTGAATGTTTACAAACTATAAGCGATAACAAATTGAAAAATATATAGGTACACGCAAAAATATTTTTCTATTTTTGATTTCAATGAGAAATCTAATGCGATGCTTCTCGAAGAGCTTATTTTGAAAACTAAAATAAATTTAAAAAAGTACTTTCAAACAACGGACTTTTGAATGAAAAAAAATAATAATAAGAAAAATAACATAGCTTACTGAAATCCTTGATGTTTTCCTCCACTCTGCGCTTGAGCTTTTTGCCTAATTACCGAACAATTAACTTTCAATTGTGCCAATTCCTTAGCAAATATAGCAGCTTCCGTCAATTCACCTTTTCCAATAGCATTTTCTAAACGTCTCAAAAGTCTGTTAATTTCAATCGTATCAGTATTGATGTTTTTCCTAGATTCACCGTTAATGTCACTTAATTTATTATCCAAGTTACATTTTGGAACATTGAAAAACAAAGAAAGTTCGTCGTTTTGAGCTAAATTCGCGTATAACTTTGCGGCATTTTTGCCGTTTTTGTCCGAATAAATATCCTCGAAATCTTGCACTTTCATCGGTTCGTAGGCGTTGTTGACTTTGTGATTTTCTATTAATTTTTTTTAAACTGGATTCTGGCACTAATTTTCTCATGACAGCACTAGTTTGAGCTGACGAACACACTTTTAGCGGTTTCGGGGTTTTCGGTTTTGCGCACTTTTATGTTTTCGTAAATTGTTTGCTGAGTTCCTATTAGAATTTCTGCAACTTTTTCCGCTTGGGTTTTTTCTATTGGCTTGTTTTCCTCCTCCTGTTGTTTCTTCTCTTGAGGAATCTCTTTGGTTTCTTTATTAATATCATCATAAGGATTTTCCATAATTATACTGGTTCTACTATTTTGCTTCATCAATATATTACTTTTTCTTTTGGGTAAAGAATTTTTCATTTCAATTAACATTTTCTTCAGTCTGTCTCTTTCTTCTTTTTTACTGGTATCATCGACTTTCGATTCCGGGTTACTTGTAGAGGTTTCTGATTTTAATTTATTATTTGCGTTATAACAAGCTAAAGCCGAAAAACCGATTTGTGTTTTTGATCTTTCGAATAAATTATTTTGAGCTGAAAAATCTTTTTTCAATGCTACTGGACTGGAAGGTTTTGTTTGTTCTGCATCATTAGTGTTTATTTTACTTGAAGAAGAAAAATCATCAAAGTATGGTTTAATGGCTGAACAAACGTGGCAAATAATTCTCCAGTATTCATTTTCCAAATTACATTTAGGACAGTTCCAACTTTTTCTTTCCATTTTGGGAGTGGACTCTTTTATGGACAATTTAACAGCACTAGCGCTCTCAGACTTCATTAAAGGCGAAAATCTATCTTCTTTTTTCTTGTCAATATCCTCGATTCTTTTTTTGTGACTTTCTAAAAGTTTTCGTTGTTTCGTTTCATCCAAGCTAGTTTGTTTACCGAAATATTTATCTTTTTGAGACACACCAAACACACTAACTTTTGTGACGTTGGTGATGGCATTAAATTTAGCAATCAAATCTCTAGCTGAACGTCTTTTAGGTGATGCCCAGCTATCAGTTGTTGTTGATGGAATATTGGACTTGATTTCTCTGGGTTTCATGAATTCAGGAATTTCATTGTTGATTTTGATGATTCGTTCATATTCGGCTTTATTTTTTATTATTTCTGAGGCTTCACGGTCCAATTCGCTAATGTTCGTTAGAAAGGACAATCCGCTTTTACGTTTGTCTTCTTTTCTCTTTTCGTCTTTGGGATTGGGTAGGGAATCTTCAAGGGTCAGATCTAACGTTGAGTTTCGCATGTATTGGACTTCAGGTAATCTGTAACAAAAGAAACAAGTCCTAAATATATGAGGAACGTTCAAGGATAGGTAAATGTGATTGAAATAATATTATATTTAGGGTGACATTTACAGTTCGCCCATTGCAGTTTATTTAAGTACAGTGATCGTTCTAAATTCCTGAAATCCTAATTAAAAATGTTAAGGGAAACTAGCCTCTGCTCAAGCATGAAAAAAAAAAACTTGGATCCTAAATTGTTTTAATATAAAAGATAAACAAAAAAGAAATAAGTAAATTCCCTACCTACTTTTTTTACTACTGAGAGCGAAACAATCCATTTTATTCTCACTAGTGTCAACGTTTATTGAAGTGCATTAAACTAGATACTAAATGGCCGACGTTCCAAATTAAATATATCTACCCAAGCCGTTAATGATACTTACGGGTATTATTAGCGTAGGATTCAGTAGCATAAGTATATAAATTTAGAACGAATTTAGTCACAGTTTAATTTTTTTCAGGCAGGTTAACTTGTAGGGCAATTCGGTGGAGAAAATGAGCAAATTTCAATGGCAAAAAATAACCAACCTTTTAAGATTTTATAAGAATTTTCCAGTAAAAATGCTAATATCTGCCTCTTAATTATTAACCCTTAACCCGGAATAGACTTAGATAGGAATGTTTTTGTTAACTACTCACCTCTCTATTGGTTCATATTTATTCTCTTTCTTCGTCAACATTTCCTTAGACGTAGAATTTCTCTTATACCACGGCTTGGGTGACACAGGCGCTTCCACAAAACTACCTTTAGAAGAAGACGGACTAAGAGTATACATGTTTTGAGCTTGGAGATTTTCTTGTGGCGTCTTTGGTCGGTTATCTTCTTTCACTGGCTTGAGCACTCCATGGTCCAGTTTCAAATAATCATTTGCTAGAACGTCTTCTTCTTGGTTTTCAGTAATTTGGAGTTTTGGAGGAGGTGCTGGTGCTACGCGTTTTTTTCTTTTGAGGCTGTTTGTTGAGGATGGATCTAGAGGTAGTTTGTTGCCTCCCGGAGGTTGTGGAGCTTTTCTTTTGCCTTTAACATGTAGGTAGGCGCCTGCTCGTCTAACTTTCGATGATTCACTGTTTGTTCTACAAAGGAAAGAAAAACCTTAGCGATTATGAGAAGACACTTTTGCTGATGTGTATTTAAATGTATGTACCTAGTTGTATTTTAGGCATTACTCCTTATATTTTTTATTATACAGGATGTTTCTGAATAGTGGGATCCTGTGGGATCAAACTTCTAGGATGAATAGTACCTACTCATTAAAATAAAGTAAATAGAAACATGGGTCTTAAGCAATTTATTTTAATATTCAGGAGGAAATGCTGAATACAATTTTGATTTATAATTTTCGAACCTTTTTAGTCCCATCAAGCTAACTAGAACCAAAATTGACCTAGAGCTAATGAAACTTTGTAAGTATACCTAAAACTACATAGTGGCAGGAAAACTGTACCTAATAGGAACTTATTTTCATAAGGAATTATGAAATTCTAGAAATTAAATCAATGTTAACTCTGCAGTAAAATAATTCTATTCGTTACCTCATAAGCAATCAAAATCATTAGTTCTATTTTCTAAGTATGTATTTAGATCATGAAAAATTACCTTCTATGAACCTTTTGAGGTTCAACCTCCATAATATGCGCCCTAGTCATCAGTGGCAAACTTTTCGAATTTTCATCTTCTTCCAGAGGTTTTTGCGTTCTCAGAAGTGTCTCTCTGTTGAAAAATAAATTATATTTTTTCCTTAGGGTCACATTTTTGTCATTTTCTCTCCGTTTGTCTCTTTGTTTGAGACGAGCTTTATATGTGTCAGTTTCAGGACCTACAAAAACCCAATATAAGGCGCATTAAAGCATTGCACATTAATTAAATCGTAATTAATTTTCAACCATCAACATGATTAGATATAAACAAAGCAACTGACGTTACAAAAAATAAAATAACAAACAAGTCGTGAATAAAAGTTATTTATACGTAAAGATAGAGATGCGCGCACGTGCCATTGAACCGAAATTTATCAATTGACCATCGCGCAAAATTATACTAACCAATAGGGACCTGTTTTTCCAGAACTACTTTGTTCTCATACACAGTCGGCGACACATATCGGAAACTGGCGACGGTACCCGAGCTCTTGTCCGATGCGACACTTTCCAGACTGCTGGACCGTGACGAATCGTCCGCGATGATGGACTCGCGCGATCCAGGTTTGAACCATTTGAAGAAAGCGAAGAGGCCGCTGTTCCTTTTCGATCTTGGATCGGTGCCAGGACTTTGTTCGGACGTCGCGGCGGCGATTGGTTCGCTCATGGTCGTTCTTTTGGGTAACGCGCGCCATCAGCCTAGAACACAAAGAATGGTTCGAGCTGATTAATAGTTGCGATATATGAAATAGATAAGTTAAACTGCGTTCAGCGGATTTTCTTATTTTACTTATCGTCTCAGGAATACAAAATTATGTTTTCTCCCGGACGGGAACTCTTTATTCAATCACTAAGAGCCTCAGAATCGTTTTTTTTTTAAATCTATTTTAGTCATGACATATATTAATAATAATAGGATAATACCTACCAAAATAGGGGCAGATTGCAGATTTAGGAAAACAATATTATAGCTCTGGTACCGAAGAAAAACAATAATGTTGCTGGCGTTATGGTATAGTGGATGTTTTGTTTTTAGTTCAAATCAACATCAGGCTCCTGCTGTAATGGAAAACACTAGCCTCTGCTGTATATATAAATGGCGGTTTCGATGAAAAAAAGCTTCAGTAGAACAATAAAAACAAAAAACAATAGGGCACTTAGCAAAAATTGCCATGGCGTCAATGGGTACCGATATTTGGGACAGCCAGCGTCTGCCGTCTGTTGGTTGGAACCAATGTAGTAGAAAAGAGGTATGGAATGAGCTTTGCGTCATTCAATTGAATCCAGAATGAGATAGCGCTAGTAAGGGCAAGAAATATATTGGATCTCCCATATCTCTCTTTCTAACCCTGAGTGAGATAGCGCTAGTTAAGGCAAGAATATCTCATGGATCTCTCCTGTTCTCTCACTCTAGTGTTGGCCGCAAATATATGTATTGAGTAGATAGGCGAAGGGCTCTTCCAACCTTCTTACTACTTCATCGGTTGGAACACAACAGAGGCAAAAAAAAATTTCGCAAATCCTAAAGCAACCTGTATCAAAGTTGCATCACCAACATACTACGCTGAGTATAAGGTAGTCGAAGTGAAGCCTCCAGAATCATATTCATAAAAATGCTACGACAGACTGCAGACAGTTTAACTACTGAAGAAAAAATAATGAGAAAAATGAAAAACATCACCGTACCAGTGGACTCAGGCGCAGTCGTATGTCTATTTCAATTTCAGTAGGTAGTTAAGTGATCGCCAGCAGATAATTTCATGTAGGGGCGGGTTTTCGTATAAAATGGACAGCAACTGCGGTGTCCCTCAGGGCTCTATCCTTGGCCCCCTTTTGTTCTTGATCTATATTAATGATCTCTTAAGGTCGGGGGAAGTATGTAGATATAGACTTTTCGCTGACGACACGCTCATTGTCTGGCATGTGAACAGTGGAGATTGTGGAGAATTTTTGGAACGCATGATTAATGTCGATTTCGATTTAATAAAAACCTGGTGCGACAGCAACAATCTATTCTTCAACATATTTAAGACCAATATGTTAAAACTTCAAGTTCTCATTATCCAATATCTTCTTATGTGGGGATTTCATTCATCCCACCGCCTGTGCTTAGTTTCTTGGCGTTACAGTGGACGAGAGTCTCAAGTTTAAGCAGCACATTGTGGACTCTCTAGTAGGTTATTATCTAGCTGTTATGCTTAGAGTACTCTCAGAGCAGTTAGAGCTACGAGCTCTCAGGGCCGCATATTTTTCTCTGGTGGAGTGTGGAGTCACACACTACTCATGCAATTGCATTTTGGGACTGTTGCAATAGATACTACAAGTTTCAACTCCATATTTATTTTACAAAAAAGAGCCCCTAGGTTATTGATTCATTTTTCATAGAATTTTAACTGTGCCATGCTTGTACAGGGTGCTGCAATTTGGAGTGTTTTGACAGGCAAAACATACTTCGAGACCAGCTAGAGGAAAATTGACTTAGATGTTATGGGATTGATTTTCTAGAAACGTCGATTGTCAAAAACCGTATCGCCATGTCTTCAATGGTATCATTAATATATGCTTGTATTTTTAAGGATTTATACTAGAAAAAATGGATCCTCTAATCCTTTTTATGTAGAATAGCTAATCAAGTTTACTCGAAAATATTTGGTTGGTGCAATTTCAAACAGAAAAGTACAAAAACAAAACTAAGTACCTACCTTTTTATTTTTTTAAAACATTACATAATTAAAAATAAATATTTCTTCATTTTAAGGGTTAATAGGGTAAGAGGTGTGAGGTGTGATTTAGTTCCTTCTGCACTGCATGCAAAACCAGGCTTTCTTACTAGAAGGCAGCTTTGTTACTGAACTACCACTTTATGTTTACACCGAAGACATGAATCACACCATAAGCAATCTTCACGTATCACTTTGTTACATATATCACAAATCCATTTTAGAATACTATTTTGTTTTTCTCCAATTCGTTTTTGTAATAAAACATATAAGAATCCAGACAAAAATATGCTTCTATTTCTGCTATAGATATTTCTTTTTCAAGAAGAAGTGGATCAATTTGTTGATCATGAGGAATGTTTTATTTCTCATTTTTAAAGTTTTTATGATGTAATGCTTACCAAATCATCTGTATTTAAAACTGCATTAAGCATTATCTGGTGCCTCAGTTTAGGAACTTCATTTTTGAATAAAACACTTTTATTTTTCTTAGACCTTTTTAGTCCAATTGCAGTTAATTTATGTCCCTTGGGTCTTCCTTTATGGGTTTTAAAGGAAATTTAATACTCTTTATTTTTTCTTCTAATTGGTTTTGTGCAGTAGTATTTGGTTCTTGGGCTAGTTTCATTAAAATGGTGTCGCAAATATCTACAAAGAATAATATTCAAGATAAGTAAGTCTGTTTCTGCAGAAATCACAAATTAGTCAGAGCAAATTTCATTGGTTGAAAACAGTCAGAAACAGTCAGAAAACTAGTATCAACCAATGAAATTCACTCTGACTGGTTTGTGATTTCTGCAGAAACAGACTTTATCTCGAATATTATTCTTTGTAGATACTTGCGGCGATACTCCTTAATTAGACAGAATTAGAAATAAACATCTATTTTCGGATCTTCAATATTACCACTAAAGATCCGCATTTTCCGACCCCTAATATACAAATTGAAAATCCGAAAATTATCGGATCTTTAGTATGAACACTAGAGATCCGAATTTTTTGATTTGCTTTGATTGGATTTATTCTTTTATCTAATAAACTCTAATATTGCCGAGAAGACTAATGCGGAGTCACTTTCACGGGGACTTATTCTAAGTATAATGACTCGAGTATTCGAGGGACCACAATGTCCATGGTAAAAAAAAAGTCAACCTGAGACTAAGAAATATAAGAATCTATCACACCGTGCTTCGTGCTAACTGTTCAGTGGCGGACCTAGGACCTTTGGGGCCCGACGCAATTTTTTTTTTTTGAGGCCCTGTCATGCTTTTTTTAAGGTATTTTTCTTGTGGTGTTGGGCTGTAAAGTGAGTGTGCGGAAGTTATTTATATTTTTGTTTTTAACAACCAAATATAGAAATAAATTTAATCAAAAAACAAGTTTATCAAGAACATATGAGACAGAAAACAAGTTAAACGAAAACATTTTTATAAAAATTCAAGAACTTTTTATCTAAACAAAAAGAAATACATCATAGTAGTACCGCACTGCACTGATACTGTCCGTACTCCACGGACAAGTACCATAAATTATCTGAGTCTGGAAGATAATAGGCAATTTTTTGCGAGGATAACCAAGCATAATCTTTTGCTGGATTATATGATGTGTCATTTGTGTCATACTCCCCTAACTCATCCCCCACCATCAAATTCTAGGATACTCGAGGATCAAGAACTCCTAATTTCTTCTGAGAGAACAGACCGAAAATCACCTTTTCTTCATTTAAAATCGACGAAAAAATTAACACTAGCACAGCCTGAATAGCAAGCATTCCATCGAGGTCTGCGGGTGACGTCATCACTACAAGCGGCTGATAGTAGTGACGTCACTCGCAGGCCCAGAATTTGACACATCACATAACCTAGCATAATCAGATTATGCTCGATTATCCTCGCGAAAAATTGCCTAATAGCAAAAAAGCCGCCTAAAGTCGACGCGTCCGCGGTTGCCGTATTATCGCGTCGAGTGCATCAGGGATGGGATCACGACATTCTATTAGAATTTCTCTTTTATGACGTCAGGTTGCCTAACAATTGTCATTATCGCCTGTCATTGAAGTAAACAAACACTCTGGAACGGGCGCACTGCTTTATGCTAGTGTGCCGAATTTTGATATATGCAACCCAGCAATACAGAGGGATTGTTGTCTCGCTCGCACTCATTGCGATTAACGTAAAAGAAAGAAGAGCTTCTTCATCTTCCTAACCTCAATGATCCAAACACTTCAAACCAATGAACTATAGCTAAAAACTGGAATGCGCACACATTGCCATATCTGCCAAAAAATGAAGCCATGAAAGACAGATGCCACAAGGGGGAATGTTGTTTTTTTCTGTTGCTCGCTGACATATGACGTTTTCGAAAGTTTTGTCATATTTTCCTTCACAGGTTTCATCAATTGGAATACGTGTTGGAAGCAATTTTTGCCATTTAACATAATGAGTGCGACAAAAAACAGGTATCCCCTCCGCAGCAGCCGCACTAGGCTTCAAGTTCGTCCTTATGTTTATGTGTTAGCATTCCAGTTTTTGGTTATAGTTCATTGCTTCAAACAGCTGTTCTCAATAGCCGCCATAGTGCAGAGAGAGATGCAAATCCCACTTGTTTGTTGTTCTTCCTGGCACAAACCCCTGCATAGGGAACATTATGCAGCCACCGTTCCAGTGTGTTTGTTTAGTTCATTGTCGCCTGTACTGTACGCGATAAATGTGTCGCGAATGACGTCATGAAAGTGGAATTCTACTTGTCATGATTCCAGCCCTGGATTCCCTACAAGGCCTTTATTGTCGAAACAGGAGATAAGCGTTCTGTCTTAGTTGCCCATATTTTTATTTCCATAACACTGACAAAAACAAAGCAATATCGTTCTTTCTCGTGAGAACGCTGTGCCCCGATTTCAAGAATAGGCATCCTGTTATACAACGTTGCTGTCTCTTTCAAAATTTAA